AAAAAGAGGAGGATTAGCATGGATGTTAGCTCAGGGCTGATCTTCCTCACAAAAAAAAAAAAAAAAAAGATGATCTTTAAAAATAAATAAATAAATAAATAATCAGCCTAAAATAATTCTCATGTTAAAGAGACACATTCTTGGGTGGCAAATTTTGTTCCACTTCAGTGCACTATGTGATGTTCACACTAAAATCACCTAATGACACATTTCTCAGAACGTATCCCCATCATTAAGCAGCATATGACTGTATGGATCTCTAAAAGCCTCTGGAAGTTTTCCCTTATCAATCCTGGTGTACAGCCATAGTATATATTGCTTTTTTTTCACCAATTGATCAATAGTTTTGGCTCCAGGTAATATTTCAAAGCAAACACTACTCTCTCTTGTATCCAATAATAGTTAAATCTCTTGGTTGGTTCAGTCATGAGTCTTTTCCCATTCTTTTCCTCTAATATTTTATTGTAATATAGTTTATCAATAGTATAATACATACTTTTCTAGTATATTTATAATCACACAAGGAAAAGTAATTGAGTTTTAAAGTTTTCCATTTGTGATTATGTCCATGTGAGCATTTGTCCTGAAATGTTGATAAAATTATTCTCAAAACACATTTCATTGATGCTTTGTTGGGATGGTATTGGAAAGTAGGGTTTATTTTGAAATTATAGTAACAAATAACAAATAAATTTATTTTCTAAATTCAATATCTGAGGGGCAAATGTGATTCTGATTTGGTTATTCACCATCAATAAATGTTTAAAATCTCTATAATACTTTAAAGTTATATTTTATTAAAGCAGGCAGAAGGTTCAAGTTCACTGCTGTTCTAAAGTGATATTGGTTGTGTTTATACTCAAACAGATTTTAATTTTTTGTTAACTCTTTCAGATCCTTCTGGTTTTATTTTTTTTACAAACTTTGAAATTTTATTGACTTAGAATATATTCTTGCTTAGAATTGCACAGTTTTTCAGAATTTAGAGTTGAGAATTGTGAGAATGTCATTACTTATGTAACTACTTCTTTAACTCTCTTTTCAGATAAAATATTGGCAAATACAGTTAGATAGACATCGGTTAAAAATGTCAAAAGTTGCTGATAGGTAGGTATTTCAAGATGTCCATATAAATGAAAAAATTCTTATGACAATTAAATGTGTTAAAAATGGTAAGAGAACTGTTGGGAGGGGAGCTAAGATAAATAATTGGAACCCTATAAGAAATATTTTGCTTTTCCTTTTTGCACATAGAAAACTTTCAGAGAGCTCTTTTATTGTAGTTTAAATGACAGAATGATCATTATTGTCTTAAATCTCTAGAGGTCCCATCCTTGTGCAGCCAGAATTGGAGACAGAAGATAATTACGGAGTTGAATCTTTTCACTCCTGCTGGGAGAAATAAAACTTTCAATTTACCACATTACCTTTTGGCAACTTAGAGCCTCTGCAAATTCATCTTAACATTCACATTACTCAGTTATTGCATGACTTCAGAATTTGAATTAAAATCAGATTTTAGATATTTTCCTTTTCTTCATTCAAATCTGTTCTTCACTTTGGGGCGCTGCCAAATCCTAACTCTCAACTTCTTTTTCTCCACTCTCTTTAAAAAAAAAAAATACAGATTTAAAAAAAAAAAAAAATATTGTTGTCAGTGATTCCTCTTTTACCTAATTTCTGTAAATACTTTTGACAAGAATTCCCTTTTAATCCCTTCTCCAAGTTGGCTAAAATCAGTTCAGCTGTGGGTGGACTGGTCGACCAAGGATTGGAACTGACGCTTACCTAGCACTGCCCTTCACACATTGACCTCTTAACGTTTTGCATCATTTTAATGGAGGGATATTGACTCATATAGCTTAGGCCTGGGGAGAGATGGAATCCTCAGCCACATTTGTCTGCCAAGAAGCACAATAAGGTGATGCATGTAAGTTATTGAAACACACAGCCTGCCACTGGATTTCATTCTGTAAATGAGCAAGCATTCTTTAGCCAGACATTTTTATATTCTGTCCCCTACCTTGGACTGGGTATAACCTCAGCCAGAAAACTAAGGAAGATGAAAATGTTCTTTCTCTCTAGTCTGCTAAGTTACACGGAACAGTATTTAGAATATGACCCATTTCTTGTGCCACCTGACCCTTCTAACCCATGGCTGTCTGACGATACTACCTTCTGGGAACTGGAAGCAAGGTAAGAGGCCTTTTCTCTTCCTTCCACATATTTCACTTTTTTCAGGGTTTGGGTGAAAAAGGAAGAATCCTATAGGTGATTAATTGTAATTTTAAAGGTAATTTTACTCTGTGCCTACATTAGCCCATGATATAAAGTTCTTGTTCAAAGTAATGGTTTTTGAACCTTAGATATTAGCGTTTGTATTAAGATTTGAATTTCCAGAAGGACTGGCACAAAATTAGAGACGAAAGTGTTTCCAGGTGAACTAATCAGAGTTAGGATCTTCAGTTCTTGAAATTTAGCTCATTGTTTTTACCTTCCTTGAAAATCCGCATAGCCACAAAGACCTGTGTATTCAAGTAAAATGAATGCTAAATTCATACTTACTTAAGCCCCATATAGGTATGCCTTTATAAATTCAATTTTAAAACAAAATGAACTTATCATAAACACTGTAAGAGAAATTGACAAGAGACTGACTTAGAAAAACCAAAGCACAATTTAAGCCCCCCTGGTTTCTCTCATGAGCTATATCAGTGAAGAATTACATCATCCATCTTGTCAGAGTCGTAAAAATATCACTGTATCGCTTTACAGAGTGAGGATTTAGTATTCTTTAGCACGTCTCTAGATTACATTTTTGGACTTTTCCTTTTTTTATGTCCATCCAGTGGTTCTTAAATGCTTAACAAGTGCAGAACTCTTCATCCATAAGTTCTAGATTGTATAGATGAGGAAGCTGGAACCCCAAAATGTTGTGATTCGGCCAGGATTGGGTCACACATTTAATCAACAGCAGAGTCATGAACTAGGATTTAGGCCTTTTGGTTCCCAATGCATTTTCCCCCAGTACAACATGCCACCATGAGATTGCATTATGTAGTGATTGGGCTCTGGGGTCAGAATGTCTGGAATATTGCCCCTGGTAACCTGCCTGACATTGGCAAGTTATAACCTTCTTTGTGCCTCAATTTCTTCATCCATAAAATGAGAATTATAATAGTACCTATCTCACACAGTTGCAGAAAAAACTAAAAGAGAGAATCCATCTAGAGCACTTAGCACCTAATGTTCAATAAACATTAGAGTTTATTATTAATACCTAACTTATACCTCACTATAATTTCATGTAGAGCCATTAATCAGAGATTTTTTTTTTCCTGAAAGATAAGTTAAAGATGAGAACTTCAAGGCGTATATGATTTTGAGAGGAAATGTAACAGCAGAAAATAGGATGTAATGAGAGGAATGTAGCTGACTTTGTTTTATCTCTTATAGCAAAGAACCAAGCCAGCAGAGGGTAAAACGATGGGGTTTTGGCATGGATGAAGCATTGAAAGACCCAGTTGGGAGAGAACAGTTCCTTAAATTTCTAGAGTCAGAATTCAGCTCAGAAAACTTAAGGTAAGACATGTTGTTTAGATCTTATACTATAAGCCAGGAGACCTACCTGTGGTGTGTCTGGTTGTTTTGGACTTAATAGACCAATTACTCTCCCACCAACATTATGATGATGATGTGAACCCATTGAATTTCTGCCACTTGATGGAGGAAAAAAGATAACCGAGGCAAAGCCTGTCCAACATTATTAATTCCTTATAATGGTTTATTTTTACACTATCTCTTGATCTTTTAACCAAATAAATTTGGTGCATTTCAAATGGACTCCATAAAGAAGTGTAATACTTAGACTAATGTTTAGCAAAGTGGAGAATGGCCAATAATATTTATGCAGTTAAATTAAAATATCACCTATTTACCAATATCAGTCTTCTTTGCGTATCGCTTCTCACTTACGTAAGTTCTAGAAAAAGAGATTGGATGCTTATATCAAATAATTTCAGACAAAACTATGGGAGCAGCTCATTGACCTTGCACATTTAAATACAGCCTCAGGGCAGCTGAGAACAGCACCACATTAAGCTGTTGGTGAGGGAGGGGTGCACATTCCGCCCATCTGTTGTAGACATCATCGTTACATATTTTTGAAATTTTTCTAGCTTAAGAGGCACCTGGAAATTGAATTTTTAAATGTGAGACACTGGAATAGATTTTGATGGCTCTGTTTAAGATCATTGAAGTGAGTGATAACTTTCCACTACACAAAACTGTTTTTCCATGAGCTCTTTCATTCATTATTCTTTTGAAACATGGTACCCTAATTTACTTTCCCATGACTTCTGCAGTCCTGTGAAATTCATCTACGGAAAGGTCTCGGCATTCATTTATTTTCCTTGGAACTAAGCAGCGCCAGGTATTGTCATATCCCAAACCATTTGGAAATATGTAGAACTTTGACAGATGTCCCATGGATTAAGCAAGATGACCACAGAGAGGACCTGGAGGAATTGAATTATCTGTGCGTGCCTCTGAAGGATTGTTGGGTGCTGCTTCCTACTCTCCTTCAAGTTTATGTGAACCCTTCTTGACAAGGCTTTCACAAGATCTACAGTGGCTAAGGATTTTTATTGGGCCTACTGAATAACATTGTCTGTATCGAGGACACATCATCAGTTATTGAGTACAAGAATGCATAAAACAAAAATAAAGCAGAGATAAAGGATATGTTTAGCCTTTTAGAGGACGGGGAGGTGGAGTTACATCTAATTCTCTAAGTTTTTGAAAAAATGCTGACCTCATGGGTATCATGATGAAGAAATAAACAAGTAATGAGCCTCACCAGTATCACCTAAGCAAATAAAAACGATTCCAATCTCATTAAAATTACAGCCTAGTGGTAGATACAGAGAGGAAAGCAGATCACAACATAAAATGATGGGTGTTCACCTTGGAGAAGTACAGAGGGATAGCCAACCTGGAGCTAGAGATCAGCAAAGGCAGCCTGGGGGAAATGGCTTCTGGGCTGAGACCTGGATGACAAGGAGATAACAGGCAGAAAAGGAGGAGGGAAGAAGCTTTAGGGCAAAGGGAATAGCCTGTGCAAACTCTGTTCATGGTTGAATTGAATCACTGCTGATTCCCTAGTTCAAGTCTTAACCAGTTCTTATCTCAATAATTCTGTGCCACACTGGTTTCCCTGCTAAGTAATGACTGATAAGAAATATTACATATTTCATATATATACACATATACATATTTCTTGAGTATCTACCATATACTATTATATGTTTCCCTACTAAGGATAGATAGATAGGTAGGTAGATAGATAGATAGGTGACAGAAGGATATAGATATAATTCTTGAACACCTACTATATGCCATAATATGCCTTATATCCAACACTTTTATAAGTGTGCCATGCTATATTTTGTATTCGTTTTTCTGATTATCATCTAATCATCGCAACGAAAATGAAGTGTAAATATTCTTGCCCCATTTTACAGAGAAGCAAAATATGTTGGGGGGCTAGAGTTAAGCATCTTGTCCAAGTCAGATTGTTAATAATCGGCATCCTAGGCTTTCTATAAGCCAATACCAAGCTACTGTCCACTGCTGCCCAAATCTGAGGCCCCTGCTAGTGTCACAGACTGAGGGAGACAAGACAGTCCAGTCAGCCGACAGGGCTAATTGTGCTTAAATAAGTCTCCGTGCCTCTAGTCTAAGCAGCAGCCCTCTAAGCACCTGCTATTTATGGAAGTGGGGCGCTTGTGTGAGCATTTTCCTCAAGTATTAAGACAGGAAAAAAAGTCAAGAAATACTGCTTATTCCTCAAATACAACCCCCACTCTCCATTGCTGCGTTTTTGCTCACTCCTTTTTCAGGTAAAGCACGTAGTACAATGTCAGTACTAAGTAAATGCAGTAATATGATTTTTATTGTTGAGGGTCTAAAAATATGTCAGGCACTTCAAAAGTGCCCTTTACACAATTTATCTCGTTTAATCTAAAGGAAACCCAGTGAGATAGGCCTTATCATCCCATTTTACTGATGAAGAAATCGAGGCTTAGAAAACGAGACGCTTCCTCCAATTCCAGCTACCATATAAGAGGGGGTGGGATTTTAACCTGTGCCTTTTCCATTCTACTAAGTTATAACAAGGATTATAATAATTCTGAGGATGAGAAAGGCACCGATGCTCTGAGGGAGGCACTCGAGGGAGTGGTTATGGGCATGTCGTCTACTGCAAATTATCTGGGAGCAAACCCCAGCTATGACAAGCATAGTGGGCAATCTTAAGTAAGTGACTTAATCTTCATATCCTCAGTCTCCTCTTCTCCAAAATGGGGGAAATAATAGCACATACTCTGTAGAGTTGTAGGGATTGCATGAGTTAATACAACCAAATCAATTAGAATAGTGTCTGTACTTACATGTCAGTGTAGGTGTTATTATTACCTCCTCAACCCTTTGATATTGTATCTGTATTTCCAAGTCCACTTAAGACATCACTGCATCTATAACAGCTTTCCTAGAACTCCCTTTTCTGACCCAGTGCTTGCCCCAGCAGAAGGGCTCTTTCCTGCTCTGCATTCCCAGACTGTCCAGTTGGTGCTATTCCTTGAGTGTCCCTCCTGTGCTTCCTTGTATTATGGCCACTTGAATGGTGTATCATTTTCTCTACTAGTTCTTTGAAGACAGAGAATCCTTTTGATTGATGTGTCCAAAGCGTGCTGGAATGAACTTGAATGAGCGCTAATTACAACACTTATGTTCCCTCAGATTGCACATAGCATTTCTATTAGATTGCACAGTGTCGAAATCTGTATTTTAGGAGGAAATGATCTTGAGCCTTCCCTTCTGACAGCAATAATGGTAGTTTCATGCTTAAAGCATTGTTCAAATTGGATTATCTACTGTTACATATATCTACAGGAAAATGATATCTAGAAACTGGAAAATCACTAGACTGAGTAGTATTTGATATTCTAATTCTAGCTCAATTGCTTTATTACTTATTTCTGGCCTTTCATTAATACCTAAGCTAAAACTTAATAGTTATGAAGGTATTATTTATCACCTTATACCTCTCTTAAGACTGTGGCCTGTAGTGACCTTCGTCTCTGTGGTCATCTTGTCCATTTCTTGATCACGTCTACCAGAAAGTGATGACATCCCCGGTGGGGATAACATAGACCTAGTATGACCTTTTTCAAGTATTTTTTTTATTTTAATGAGTTATTATGATATACATATTCATCTTTTCCACGTTATTTCTAGGTCTAACCAAAAAGATATAACATAGAGCAAAATTGAAAGAAATGAAACCCATTAATACAATGTGGCCCCTTATGATTGGACTTTGCTATTTGCTCTTATCAACCAAAACATGTTTTGGTGTTCCTTCCTTTTAGCATATATTTTCTATACAGAAGTATATAAAATATCTTTATATATTTAGAAGTAAGTCAGTATATATTTATTTTTTCCAGAGCTTCTGAATTGCTATCATGCCTGTGCAAATCTAAGCCTTTCAAACAATTGCATGTGAAAGCTTGCTGCTTCTGTCATTCCGTAACTCTCTGAATTAAATTGCCTAAAATTAGTTACCTGCCCTGATTTCTCCAGCTAGGGCCTTTTCTGATCTTGTGTCCGGGTCTCTTTAATTCCAGTAAAGCTTTGCTGTAATTCCCTTGACAGGTAGAGCAGAAAATCCTCTCCATACTAACCCTCATTGCTCAAATGGACAAAAGATCCAAAGAGTACAATACAATGCACTACTTTATCCCCCCGATCAGATGCTCTATATCTCTCACCCTCATTCCCTTCAAACTTCTCTTCCTTTCTAAGAAATGCTCCTTCAGCAGTGCTGCTTGGCTTCAGTAAAAATTAGGGTTGTATAGAATCAGGGTTCTGGCAGATCTGCTTTTAACAGCAACCACTTAAAAGAGATTGTTTTTGATATTACCTTCTGAAAAATTTTATATCTTTGAATGTAACCAATGAAAAAAATCAGTAAAGGCCTGATATTGGAAGCCCTCAGAGAAAGTGTTTGTTATTATGCATCATCGTGAATAGTATGATCAGTCAATGTGATAAGAATTTTCAGATTATGAGGCATCAGAGTAAATGCATGTGTCACGTTTTGCTTAGATTCTGGCTGGCAGTGGAGGACCTGAAGAAAAGGCCCATCAGAGAAGTCCCCTCCCGAGTTCAGGAAATATGGCAAGAATTTCTGGCTCCAGGTGCCCCCAGTGCCATTAACTTGGATTCTAAGAGCTATGACAAAACGACACAGAATGTGAAGGAGCCCGGACGATACACATTTGAAGATGCTCAGGTTGGTACATGGGTGGGCCTCACTTTGTGTCACAAATGTCCTCCCGAGAAGTTGACTTTTGAGATTCTTTCATTTTATTTTCATTGTAATTGTCAGCTATGCCTAGTATTTTCAGTTTAAGTAACTGTATGTAAAATAACTCTAGTAGATCTAGAAAAGGATAAAGACACTTTAAAGTGAACAGTGTTCAAAGCCTAGGAATGTTGTGTAAATTTGAATGTTTTTACATATAAATTTCTTGAAGGGTAATATTTGAAATATTTGAAAACTTTTACTTCATTTTCTACTGTTTGTCACCCAATATGTGAGCAAACACTTAGCTAATGGTGGCCTCACCTCGGTAACACATATTTGAAATCTTTAAATTGTCTTCCAATGTGGATATTCTAAGATTCTGACGTTCCGAAATTATTCACTATTACAAATAGTCAGAACTAAACTAAATTAGGTTAAAGTAATGTCAAACTCAAACTAGTTTTGTCTCAGATGATAAAATGAAATAGCAGATTCAGACATTTATTAATTTTCCAAGTTAATTTTTTAGTCTACGAAAAGGAAAAAAAAGGAAATTGATATTAAGGTATTAATGTCCTAAGACAAATTTTTAAGTGTTTTTTTCCTCAAAGTGGACGTAATTGCCTCCTTAGAAACAATTTGAATTTCCACTTTCTCTAAAAACATATTGTGCTCAAGAAGAAAAATAAACTTGTAATGAGAGGATATTATTTCCTAATGATGCGTTGAAACTGGCTTTTAAATCAGAACATGCATACTTCATAATTTCTTAAACCTCTTTTAGAGAAAATATTAGCTCTAAAAAGTTATGTTTTTTTCTTAAATAACATTACTAAAATAAAGCATAGAAGAGGAAGAATGAGATACACAAATATCCTTCCCTGTTTTCACTCTTCATAGAAAACACATTTCTCCTTGTTTCTTCAAAACAAAGCCACTGTGTGGAAAACTAACACAGTTTGGAGCAGCTAACAGACAGCCATTCTCCTTGGCTCCCCCACGGTCTTCCGTGTGGAAATACTTACAGTCTACAGAGACATGTGAGAGAGACAAGGATGACAATTCCGGCCCTATTGCTTACTTGTCTGCTGATTTATCTTTCTTTCTGCTGAAGATAAAATTTCAAGCATTTTCTAGAGCAAGCAACGTGTAAAATGTTTGCAGTGACCTTCCTGAAGTCGTAAAAAGAACATTTCTTTGTCGTCTGTGTCATTGAAAAATATTCTATAGAAAACATTGCCACCTGACCCTAGGCTTTTTTTTTCAATTAAGCTCAGATATTTAACTCCAGTTTTTTGTGGATTTTTTAACCCTGTCTTCAGAATGCAAGAATAGAAATTCCTGCCACTGTTTGGGAATAGACGCAGTGGGGGCCGGTTAAGTTCACACACTTCGGCAGCCCGGCGTTCGCCGGTTGAGATCCCAGGCGCAGACCTACGCACCGCTCATCAAGCCATGCTGTGGCAGGCATCCCACATATAAAATAGAAGAAGATAGTCACGGATATTAGCCCAGGGCTAATCTTCCTCAGCAAAAGAATGTTAGCTCAGGGCTAATCTTCCTCACACACAAAAAAACAGATTCTGGAGCCAAATTGCCTGGGTTCTAGACTGAGCTCTGCTCTGTGACCTCTTGCAAGTACTTCACTTCTTCATACCTCAGTTTCTTCATATTTAAAATGGATATAATAGTGGTTACCAACCTCATTGAGGTTTGGGGAGGATTAAATTAACTAATATAGGCAAGCACTTCAAAGGGTACCTGGCATATACTCAAGTGTATTTGAGCACCTACTATGCACACCTCTGTACTTTGCTGAACATTTATCATTCCTTTAATCCTCCCAACAACCCTATTTTATATATGAGAAAATTAAGACTAGGAGAGATGAATAAATTGGTCTAAATTTACATGTGTGTAAGTGGTACATCTTGAGCGAGATTGGACCTGAATTCCCAAAATGCTTGACTCCAAAACAAGACATTGCACCACTTTTCCAACCACAAATTCTCATACAGTTCCAGATGTACCATACGCTTGGAGATGAACCAAGGTGAACTCTTGGAGTGTCAGGGAAACTGAGTCATTTCTTAAAATAAATGTTTTCTCCAAACAAGAAGAGATTGGGACATCCAGGATACTCTCAAATAGTTCAAAACTCTACATATAACTTTATATTTCACTAACCTAGAAACACCAAGGAACATTTACGCTCCCTTAAGCTGCAATAGGCCAGAGCAGAATGTCCCTGGATTGGGTCAACACCACTGAATTGGATGAATAGTTTTTTTTCTTTGACTTCTTTGTCTACCAATATTCATCACCAAAATAGAACATCACAGACTGATTCGGATTAAATTATCAAATATTTACCTATCCTGTCTCCAAATGAGTAAAAAAAGCACACAAATTGGGAGATTTAGCCATTAAATATCACGAAATTTATTTGTGGACTTGAGCTCTGGCCCCAAGTGGACGTGAATGACAGTTTTCCGTAAAATTTGCACCAAAGAGATGATTCATCTGGGCAGTCTACACCCTCCAAGTACATGTAAATGCCAAAGATATCTGGATGATTGCTCAATCTTGACTTCACATGATTCGATTTTGGCCTGGAGAAATTTTAAGAGATAGCAGATTTATTTATATTCTCAAATGATCTATGTAAATCAACAACTTGATTTAAAATCACTTCATGACCTGCTGTTGACCAAATTCCTGTTTTTTTTAAAGGACTGGATGTGATTTACATCCTCCATAGCTCCCAAACCAGTATAAACGTGGATCCATGAATAACGGAAATTTGAAGGTCTAAATGTTCCGTAAACATAAGGCATCCTCATTAGCATTAGCATTATTATTTGTAGCTGCTTCCAGATTTGTTTTTGAATCATGTGTTGTATTCTTATCATAGTATTTGACTTTTTCCTGAGAAATAATAAAGAAGCACTTCAATCATTATTTCTTTTTAGGAGCACATTTACAAATTGATGAAAAGTGACTCATACCCACGTTTTATAAGATCCAGTGCCTACCAGGAGCTTCTACAGGCAAAGAAAAAGGTATTGTTTCTTTGTACCTTTTTTGACCTAGTTCTCAGTTGTATTTAGTTGGAATAGTTTCCTCTGCCGGGCCCAGGGTATTGGACAAACGGTAAGTGAACGCACTCCACGACCCTCCCCCAAACCTTCACATTTTATAAGGGCCATTTAAGTTGTTTTTGTTTCTGTTTGTTGATTGCTTATTTCCTTTGTTTGTTTGTTTCTGCAGATGTTCATGCTTTACAAAGTTTTTTAGAAGCTGTTTTCATGTTTCATGTTAGTCTTCTGTATGCCTAGTTTAAGGAAATCCAAAATTATAATAAAGGAGAAGAAAATATCATTAGGTCAAAAACTTGAAGAGGATTTGCTTTGTCCAGGAAGCTAGAATATATGTTTTGCACCATATACCCCGTAACTAAAAATAGACTCATTTGTTTAATGATAAGTTGCCAAAATGTAGCAATGTTTGCTTCTGAATATTTTCCTTTGGCATTTATCCTGCATCACATAGTATCCCTACTATAAATTTCGCAGACCCAAGATGGTAGCCAAGCACATTTTGGAAGACTTGCAGTAGACCTCATTATTCGATTAATATTTATAATCAAAGTCTCACCATCGATAACACCTGTGTAATCAATGTAACAGTATAGAAATCTGAATATAAACATCAACCTCACTCATTATTTTTTAATGTTAAAATAGTCTATAACTACTTGAAATTCTGAGATGAAATTGTAATTTTATGTAACTCATGTTCATCATTTAGGCTAAGGGAATTTTTCAAAATTCGTTGCCTTTGCAACTGAAAATGGATACTCTGTAGTTGAACCATCTGATACAGTGGCTGCTGGCTACAAGGAGTTGTTTAAACTTTAAATTAATTAAGATTACATAAAATTCTAGCCAAATTTCGATTGCTCAATGGCCACAGCTAAAGGCCTCTGAAAGACTGGACAGCATGGAATGAAATTTCCATTCTTTCAGAAAGTTCTATTGGACAGCAATGATCTATACAATTAATGATGTTATCAACAGAAATCCAGTCCTGATACAAAATTATGAGGAAATTCTGAAGATATGCCACTAGATTTTCAAATATTTAGGCTTTGCAAATATCAGCATAAAACCTTCACATATCTACTTCATTTTAGCATAATTAGATTTTGCTTGAAATCATACCATTTTGTTTGCACAAGAGGAGTTTTTAGTGTTCAAAAGAAAAGCACCAGTGAAAACAGAGCCCATGTCCTGTGTCAACAGCCTTCCGTGGCTGTTCTCCTACCTTCCTGGTCCCCATGATGTAGAACGTGGATTTGTGTTGCATCATTTCATCATCCTGTCTTTTTCTTTTTCTGCTCTGTTTTCCTTGCTTGCTTTTTTTTTTTTTTTCAATGTTCCCTATTTCCCTTTGTCCCACACCACCCCATACATGTAAGTCGGAACACTCAATGGACCGCAGAACATCTTTTGAGAAATTTGCACAGAATGTGGTAAGTTTTACTTTCTGAGGAATTACAAATCATTAAGTCCAACTGGGAAATTGTCCCAATTTCTATCCCCATTGCCCACTTTGCATCCTCTGATATAATGGCGAAGGTACTGCCTTTATTTAAATTCAGAACTTCGTGCTTCCTACTTTTTGTCCCAGCCTTTTCTAGAGTAGATAAAGATGTCATACATGAAAACCTACGTGTATCAAACTAAGGTTTGGAAAGAAGTGTATATTATGACATATAAAATGAAGAAATTATTTTTTATATTTTTATTTTTATTCTATGTATCCTTTTCTTTATTAAAGACAGTGCATGCCTTCTATGCTCTTTCCTTTAGCTCTTCCTAAGGCTTAGAAGATCCGGAACAATGAGGGTTCTGTTCTTTCTCCTTCTGCAAGGAGAAAATGACCTATTGAGCAGTTTAAAGTCAAAGACTTGGTATAAGTGGTGGTCGGTGAGAAGATATGTGCCACCACAGACCCACTAGCATGCCTCTCTTATTCTTTATTTTTCAGGAAGGTGTTGAAAAACTGTTCCCATCTGGGAAACCAGTAGTTTTCTACCACTGTTTTCTTAGTATCTTGCCATGTGTTTTGGTGATATATTTGTTTGTGGGATTCTTTTATATTTTTTGTATTGTGGCAGTGCCTTTGGAACTTTCTGACATTGTATAAGCTCCAACTAAAGCCTTCAACACATTTATTTTTATAGGGCAGAAACATCCCTATTTTCCCATGCCATAAAAACTGTACACCAACACTGAGGGCCAGCACTAACCTGTTATGAAAAGAGGTAGAAAAATCTTGGTTTATACTCAAGTTTGTCTGCATTGTCTATTGAGTTGTGTGGTTAGCTCCATGCTCCTGTGTGTGTGTGTGTGTTGTGGCTTTTGCTGTGATGGCCAGTTAAGTGGAGTTATGTGTGTTGAAATGTAAGCAAATTGGATTCAACAAAGATACAGTTTTTGGTTTTAATTTCCTTCAAAGATGCTTGTGGTGGGGAATGTTAATCAGTTCTGTTTATGAATTGCCAGTTGTGACTGCACAGAGTATGTGAAAGACTTTAAAAAGCAATATATACTTTGAACGTTCAATGTGATTGCACAAATTAAAGAGCTGGAAAATGAAGGACTCTAGGAATTAATCACACTATAAACTTCAAAAATTTTGGCTGGCTTTATTGGAATCTCTGACCTTTAATATAAAATTTTCCTAAACATGCCTCATAGTTACCATGGTCATGACAATGTCAAAGAAATGCTCCAAGATTTTGCTGGAGAAAATGGCCGTAGGATATTGCACAGTGCTTTGTGTATTGTTTAAGAATCATTTGGAATTCATCCCTTTCTACCATAATGTTGACCGAATATTATTCATGAGATTGGAGTGGAAATTTCTGTGATATAATTAAAAATAATAATACAACTTAAGGAAGATGGAAAGGGGAAGCCAAATGATTGTCTTTCCTCCAACACCATCCCCAAATCTGACCAACTTCCCCAACTCTTAAAACAGCACCACGTTGTCACACACTGTAAACTTTAAGAAAAGATCAATAGGAAATAAGGGGAAGAGAGAATTAATCATCTAGACCTTCAAGCAAAATTCATACCTCAAGTATCAACTATATTCCAGATACCTTGCTATGTCTTAGAAACATGTAGAATGTGTATAATTGCTAAGGTACCTAATGGTATAAACAAAATGTTATGATGTACAGGAGAAAAATAAACTATTTCTACTTGGTGTTAGAGTGGGGAGGGAGGCCCACAGGTAATGTGAGAATTCCCGGAGGAAGTTACATTTGATTGGATGAATAGGATTATACTAGGCCAAGGAGGGCAACCATCATTTTAAGGAGTGTGGGGGAAAGGCTGGAATTGCTGAATGAGGAAAAGTTGAGTAACATTCATACACACACACATATATACACACAACATACCAATATATTTCAGATAATCTTCAGACACAATCACTTAGGGTTAAGTGATCACGTTCCCATCCAGGAAAATAAAAAGTAATATTTTTCATCGAGTATTTTGTTTTGTTAGTACCGTAAAGAAATGGAGTAAAGAAATTAGAAAGCTGTCTGATTTCCACAACAGATTACAAGTGATTAAATTTATTTTACTTGTCATGAGAAGTAAATTTCTACCCTGAAAATTATTTATGTACAAAAATAATCATTAATATACTATACATTATTAAATCTTATGATGATTTGTTTCTATTCAAACTTCCCTTTAACTTTCTATTCTGTTTCTTTTCTATTTCCCCTTGGTTCAGCGTTTCTCCATGTTATGATTACTTTTAGGGTCAGCAGTTGTGTTGGGCATTCTAAGTCCTTACATAATAAATTTTATGGGATACCTTTATAGGATCAATAAAATAATTTTAACACAAGCTAAAGAATGGGTGATTTTATTATAAGCAGATAGACAGAATGGAGGAAGGATGGAGTTTAAATAAAGATTTTGAAGGAATCCTGTGTGCAGGTTGCTCTGGTGGATACAGGGAGGCTACAAGATAGACAGTATCCAAGAAAAAAATAGAATAGGAAAAATATAAGTAAACAGGTATTTATACTAAGGAATTAGGAAAAGTGATATGATAAGAAGAAGAACTCACACTCATTGAGTGCCTGCCATGTACAGGCTCTGCACTGGGCACTGTATATTAGCTAAGTTAATTTAATCCAACCATGCAAGGTAGTATTATTATACTCCTTATTTTACCCATTTTACAGGTGAGAAAACTGAAGGGTCCAAGAAGGTACATAGTTTTCCCAGAGTCACACAGTTAGTTAAGGAGCTGGCACTGACCCAAAATGTATTTTGTTCCCCAAAAATTCTCTGTCTCACCACTGATCACCTTGCTCCTGGATATTCTTCTAACTGGTGGAAGACAAATAGATCCTGCCACCTGATGCTGTCCTCCTCCGGGGTCTGAGTCTATTTCCAATCAATGTCTATTTGGGGAAGTCTATTTACACGTTCCAGGAAAGTTATTTTTACAGCCTGGCTTATAAAAATGGCATTGCTGTTTTGTTTCACCCAAGAGTCAAACATTTTTGGCTAGACAGCTTCTCCCAATAGTGTTGGAACTCCCGTTGGTTACTGGGACTAGTAAACACTTTCGGACACTTTAGAAAATACTTATAATAAACAGCTAACAGTTGCACAGCATTTTACAATGTTCCAAGGACACCCATTCCTTTATGTTTATTTTGTTTTGTTGTTGTTTTACATACACAACAATCTTGGGAGGTGATCAGGCAGGTGTTACCTCTCTTTCACAGATGAGCAAATTGAGGAGTAGTGAGGTGAGGTCATTTCACCAATATCATCAGTCGTTGAGTGTTAGAGCCAGGACTGGAAGCAAAGTCGTCTGAATTTGAATCTGTTACTCTATAGATTACTCATTTTCTTTCCGTTACACCCGACCCTGGAAGGATAAAAATAACTCACATGTGTGTCATACCTTCACCTTGGCTTGTTGTCTCAAGAAATCTCATTTCTTACGATTTCCTTCTTGTTACTATATTTTTCTTGCCATCAGAGAAGTCTCCTAAGGTCTTTCAAGGGTTGCTATGTCCTCTCATGCCTTTAAGTGTTATTCTGATTGACTTCATTCTTGTCTGACAAAGTTCATATGCTGTACTAATTGAGACAGCTGTTTTCTTCCTCTACCACCATTATCAAATCTGACACCATTTCTCCAACCATTAAATTATCATAGCGTCTGCCTGCCACACAAACCTTCAGGAAGAACAGATAGGACGTAAGGGGAAAAACAGGGTAGGAAGATGGATCATCCAAGCCTTCCATCAAAATTTATAAATCAAGTGCCAACTGCATTACTCACCTCCTCTCCTTACTTTCTGTGACGTGGAAATTAAATCAGCCTGGCTCTGGGCTAGAAGAACAAAAATAAAATTAGAGAATGTTAATGTTGAACTCCCAGGAACTCATCTAATCTAGCCTTTTCGGAGAAGATTTTACCTGATTTCAGCGAAGACAATTCTCTGCAGAGCTTTAACAGAATCAACAGAAAAGATATGATGAGCTCCTCGGCTGTCCCATCCCCTCTGCTCTGGTGTACTTATGTTTGTGCGTTGGGCTTGTGAGGAAGCTCTGAAGACTGCAACAAATAACCAGAAGTCTTGAAAACTCTGTGAGAAAATTTGAACAGAAGGACTGGGTTGGCTCTGAAATCAGTTGACCAAGCTTGTAGTTAACTTCATAACTTATTAGTATAAATATTGATAAGAACAAAGGTAAATATAAATCCTATAACTTGTTTGGAATGTTAAAAATGAGAAAGATACAATAATTCTTTTAGAATGTTCTTTTGGGTTATATCTAATTAAATTCTTGATCTAAGCCCATTAAGGAGTTGCCAGCCAATATATCTTATGCAGATTTTGTATAAGCAGCAAAATGTGGTAAAAAGAGGCCTGGCCTGGGAGCTTAGAGTGTTAATATTTAGATTTGAAATCTAATCCCACACTTTCTTGCCATCCGAATTTTTAGAAATTAGTTAAACCACTGAACATCAGTTTCTTCATCTATAATCTCTCTAACTAGAAATGGCTTCAGTTAGCACTTTGCACAAATACATACAAATATTTAAAAAATGATATTATATCTTAAATATGCTTTTGAAACGTGCTTTATTGACTTAAATTGCATCATAAATGTCTTCCAGGTCATTTCATATTCTTCTACATGCGTGATTCTAGTTACTGACTACACAAAATTCCTCTCAATGGATATACCTGTAATGTATTTTTCCAATCCTCTATTGATGGACATTTAGGTTGTCCCTTATTTATTTATTTCTTTATTCATTGCCATTATAGATCAAAGTGTGCTAAACATCCTTCAAATTAAATCTTGATTTTTCTCTCATTATATATTCATAAAAAATTTAGGGGCCGGCCCAGTGGTGTAGCGGTTGTGTGTGCGTGCTCCACTCCGGGGGCGCAGGGTTTGCAGGTTCAGATCCTGGGCGCGCACCTACATACCACTTGTCAAGCCATGCTGTGGCAGCGTCCCATATAAAGTAGAGGAAGATGGGCACGGATGTTAGCCCAGGACCAGTCTTCCTCAGCAAAAAGAGGAGGATTGGCAAAAGATGTTAGCTCAGGGCTGATCTTCCTCACAAAAAAATTTAAAAAACTTTTTTTTTAATTTAATTGCCTGGTTACATAGAATGCAATACTAGAAGGAAAAGGCTTATCGTAGAGGGTGGGAATCAAACTTTCTATTCCTGATTTCTAAAACCACTTGTGTTACAAATGAATGACAAGCCTCGTCTACCAAATGCTCCTCAATCTATGAAGAACTGTAGTTACTTTCTGGGAGGCTTACACTGTTTTTTAAGACATTGTGAAAGACTCTATGGATTGTTTCTAATCCTGGTCAAGTGATTTTTTAGCTTGGTTTTTATTAAATGTGAAATCTAACATGAAATTTCCTCTACATACCCTAATGACCACCAAGATTATACACTGAGGCCACCTCTCCACCCAGTGTAACCCTATGAATAATACAGATTCCAGGTTTGAGAAATACAGCCCAGACCAGCTATGGAGCAAGGCTAGGAGCAGGGCAGTGCAGCGTCAAGTCTACTCATGCAGATCCCTCGACTGCCCATTTGGGCTGGACATCGGTTCTCCTTAGGACTGAGCCATGGCCCTCCTGGGTGAGTGCTCTAGACTTTGCTATTTGGGCTTACAGGCACATTAGCATAGATAAGCTATGTTGGAAAGGAGCCTGGAGCACCTAAAAG